GCTCCTGCTTCAATATTCCAGCTGGATTGTGAGAAATCATTGTGATGACATCAGAGGCTCAGTTCGTGTTTACATGTGAATCCAGTTCTGTTAAACCAGTTTGACTCTCCTGCAGGGCCTCGTTACGCCCTAGCGGCGGGTCCGGGGTGCTGCGGGTTTTTGCCCAGAGTTCTGCTGTTTCCTGTCACTGTGGGATCAGAACCGCGTCTTCCTCCTCCTCTTCCTCGGTGTGATGAAGAACATCTGAGCATCAGAACCCTCTGACCCTAAAGCAACGCGGGACCCAGAAGGTTCTGGTTCTGACCCGGTTCTCTCCGTCTTCTCCGTCTTATCCAATATTTATGAATAAATATTGGATATTTATTCATAAACTGAATTTCTGCTCATTTAATTTTCATTTGGACTGAAACTAATCAGAACCATAAACGGACCTGATTTTTAACCAGACAGAACTTGATCAGAACCGGGATCCGGTCAATAACGCAACTGATTCCAGACTGGTCTGTGTGAGGAACCGGTTCCGTGGAGCTGAACAGGGTCGGGTTTCCAGCCAGTGTGTGCTGCCCCCTGCTGGTGACAAGCAGGAGTAACAAACAAGAACTAGTTTATCTTGTAAGTTACAACGTCGACATGGTTATTGGAGTCATTTTACCGATAGATCGATCGATCAGAAGCGCCGTAGAAATGAACGGATCTTCTGGCTGCAGTGCGCGCTCAAGACCGGTGCTGGTACCGGTCCAGTTCCGCCATCACAACTAAAACAGACTGGACCTGGAGCCGCTCTCTGACGTCATCAGGGTGGGGACACGGCCTGTGAGGAACAGAGCCACTGATTGGTCCGCTGGGGCCAGGCGGCCAATCACAGAGCTGCATGCTGCCACGTGGTAGCGCCGCTGGCCTTAGCAGGAAGAACCGACGGTTCGGCCCGAAGAGAGGAAATAAACCCAAAACAAAACCGTTTCGACCCGGTCCGGGAGAACAGAACAGGAACCGAACGTCAGGGGGAGGACCGAACCGGACCGGAGTGCTGGTACCGGTGACCGTTACAGCCCGGTGAGTTAGCATCATTAGCATCCTCTGATGGAGAGGTTCGGTCCTTCGGGAGAACAGAACCAGAACACAATCCGGTACCAACCTGCACAGTTTGGTGCCAGTCAGACTCAGGTTCGGCCTAAGAAACCAGAACCGGGCCATCTGCTGCTGAGGACTGAGGTTAGAACCGGAAATGGATCACATGCAGAACCTCGATCCTGACAGCATGATGCCGGTTCTAATGGTCCCGGTCCGGTTCTGGTCATCAGGAATGATAAGGTCCGTTCAGATAGACCAGGTTCTGGAATCCTCTGAAGTTCTGCAGAAACTGGCTGCTTTGAACCCAGGTCCAGCAGAGTTCTGTTTCCAGGCTCACGAATCATTTCGTAGCGTCATCAGTTGGAGAATCCAGATCTGAAGTTTCTCAAAGTAAATGTGACTTCCTGATGTGTTTTCTTGAAATTGGGTCTCTGTCTCTTTAAAAACTTCTGCTGATTCTCAAGCTCCACCTCCAGGAAGTCGTCTCAACATGGCTCCTCTTAACCCTTTAATGTTGTACCAATGCTGCCCTGAGCAGCAGCTCCTATAGTGAGCTCAGCTGTTTGCTAATTGCTGCTGGCTAGTCTGAAGGAGCTGTGCCTCGAAGGCGGGGCTAGGTCCACCTAGTCCTTTGAATGGCTGAATGGTTGCCATTTAATTTGACCTGGAGTTCTGATGGGTCTGGTTTATATGCAGCTGTTCAGCTCTGGGCCAGCGGTTCTGACCGGGTGGGAGGACACAGAACATCCAGCAGGTCTAGTGGACCAGGCGGAGCCACCAGAGACCGGTTCTGATCCTGGATTTGTTTCTCCTCCAGGTCCCCCCAGCAGCCATGAGCGGCGAGCCCGAAACGCTGGCGGCCCGGCCCGACCAGGTTCCCGACCCGCTGGCCGTGGTGACCCAGCTGAGGGACCTGGCGGCCGACCCGATGAACCGCAGAGCCATCGTCCAGGACCACGGCTGCCTGCCGGGCCTCATCCTGTTCCTGGACCACCCCGACCCTCAGGTGGTCTATTGCGCCCTCCTGGTGAGCCCCCCAGCCCAACCTTTGGATTCATCGGCCGGTATCGGGTCGCTTCTGGTTCTGACAGATGCTCTGGGTCTCCGCAGGCGGTCCGGTACCTGGCGGAGTGTCGGGCCAACAGGGAGAAGCTGAAGGAGGAGCTGGGGATGATGCTGAGCCTGCAGAACGTCATGCAGAAGTGAGCGACCTTCCTCTGGAACCAAAGGGCTCGGTCCAACAGAACCGTGTGTGGTAAACTCTGCGGTCCTCCCTGCAGGTCCACCACTCCGGGAGAGACCAAGCTGCTGGCCTCCGAGATCTACCAGCTGCTGCAGGCGGCGGCCGGCGCCGACGAGCCGCAGGCGGCCAGGCCGGCGCCTGGCGGCGCGCGCCGCAAGGCCCAGTTCTTCCTGGGGTCCAGCAACAAGAGAGCCAAGACGGTGATCCTGCAGATCCACGGCCTGGACGACCCGGTGGGTCCGCACACAGACACTGCTGTCCGGTTCTGGTCCGCTGCAGGGTTCTGATCAGCTGTCCGGTTCTGATCCGCTACAGGGTCGGCGCAGTCTGTGTGAGGAGGCACTGCTGAAGATCCGAGGCGTCATCAGCTTCACCTTCCAGATGGCCGTTAGGAGATGCGTCGTTCGGATCCGATCGGACCTGAAAGCTGAGGTGAGGACGGTTCTGTCCGGAATATTCAGGAAGAACCGAAGCTTTTCAGGATGAACGGAAAATATTTCACAAGGCATGGAAAGATCCAGACCGACCGTTTTCCCTGATCGGTCCTAATCCCAGAGAGCTTCCTGATCTCTGCCTTGGTTTTCCAGGCTCTGGCGTCGGCCATCGCTGCCACGGAGGTCATGACGGCTCAGCAGGTGGTGAAGGACGAGAACGGAGATGAGGTCAGGGTTAGGGTCACCAGCTGGAGTTTCACACTTTGTATCCGATGTGGAGGAAATTATTAATCATAGGAGAAATTTGGCAGCAATGACAGCCTGTATGTAGCCTTAATGCTAGTTCAGACTCAGTTAGCTTAGCCTTAATGCTAGTTCAGACTCAGTTAGCTTAGCCTTAATGCTAGTTCAGACTCAGTTAGCTTAACCTTAATGCTAGTTCAGACTCAGTTAGCTTAGCCTTAATGCTAGTTCAGACTCATTTAGCTTAGCCTTAATGCTAGTTCAGACTCAGTTAGCTTAGCCTTAATGCTAGTTCAGACTCAGTTAGCTTAGCCTTAATGCTAGTTCAGTCTCAGTTAGCTTAGCCTTAATGCTAGCTTAGACTTAGTTAGCTTAGCCTTAATGCTAGCTTAGACTTAGTTAGCTTAGCCTTAATGCTAGCTTAGACTTAGTTAGCTTAGCCTTAATGCTAGCTTAGAATCAGTTAGCTTAGCCTTAGGCAATAATTCCTCATATCTTAGGGTTAGGGTTAGGGTAGTTCCCTAAACCTGAAGGACCAGGTCAGCAGTAATCCTGGTGGTTCTGTTTTGTTCTGCAGGTTCTGGTCCATTTTCCAGAGACCGGTTCTGTATCGGTGGAGCAGAATCTGGACTTGCCAGAGTATCTTCCGGAGGAGGAGAGTCCGTCTCAAGACCCGGACAAGGCGATCAGCCGGGTCGGGTCGGGCCAGGACGGGTCCAGCTGGCTTGGCGCTGCCGCCAACTTCCTGTCTCGCTCCTTCTACTGGTGACCCATCAGAACCAGAATGGGCTGCTGGATCAGAACCAGGGTGTCTTTCTGAGCAGGACAAACAGAACAGAAATCCAGAAGTTTTCTATTTATTGTCCAAACGGACCGAACCGCAGAACTGAGGTTTCTGATCAGGAACAGTGACACCAGAACCGGATCAGAACAACTTCCCTGTTGAGTGTTTATCCAGACCAAATATTCTGATCCGGGTTTTCCCACAGAAGCTCTCCGGAGCGTCGTCATGTTTACACTTTACCTGACTGAATTCCTTGGAACCAGAACCGACCAGAACAAGCCTGTCCAGGTAAGCTCGGAACCGTCTGACCCAACTGGACCCAACTGAACGAACGCTAATGGGTTGTAAAGCTGGGAACCAGTTTGGGAATCGGCAGAAGATCCAGGTCAACCAAATGTTTTTCTCAGAAACACCTCTGACATTCCCAGCGTTCCCAGGGTTCCCATGGTTCCCAGGGTTCTCAGCGTCCCCGGCGTTCCCAGGGTTCCCAGAGTTCCCAGTGTTCCCAGGGTTCCCAGCGTTCCCAGAGTTCCCATGGTTCCCAGCGTTCCCAGGGTTCCCGGCGTCCCCGGCGTTCCCAGTGTTCCCAGGGTTCCCAGAGTTCCCAGGGTTCCGAGTTCCAGGGTTCCCAGCGTTCCCAGCGTTCCCAGGGTTCCCAGAGTTCCCAGCGTTCCCAGGGTTCCCAGCGTTCCCAGGGTTCCCAGCGTTCCCAGGGTTCCCAGGGTTCCCAGCGTTCCCAGAGTTCCCGGGATCCAACAGAACAAAGACCCGGGTCATTTCCTCCTGATAGACCTCTGATCTCCATTCCTGCAGCTTCCTGCTGAGCTGCTTACCTGAGCAGGTGTGCAGCAGAAGCCCCGCCTCCTCCAGGCTCTGTCCAATCACAGCCCTTCCATCATACAGAACCGGGCTTGGCCTGCTGTTCTGGGTTTCCATGGAAACCAGCATTACTGCTCTGGGGTCCATCTATAGATTCCCAGTCTGGACTGAACCATCAGAACCAACTGCTGGAACCGGGCCGTGTGACCCGGTCCGCTTCAGAACCACTGGACCAATTCTGAATCGTTAACCTTCATCATCTTCCTCTTCCTCGGTGTGAATAAAATGCTTCAGTCTGAAACTGCCTGGTTTCATTCATGACCCGATTCATCGGTTCTGGAGCTGAACGCACCTGCAGCAGGTGAACAGAACCTCCACTGGTTCTGCTAGGAGGCTGAGGTTCTGTAGGACCTCCAGACCGACTGGTTCAGAACCAGGTGCAGCTCTTATTGTGAAGGGACAGCTCTTATTGTGAAGGCCCCGCCCAGCTGGAGCCTCTCCCTCCCTCCGTCGGGTCGGCGCTCAGCGTCCCGGACCGAAGCGGAACCATGTCCGTCCTGCTGCCGCTGCTGATCAGCCTCCTGCTCGGGCTGCTGCTCTGGATCCTCGGCGGCAGAACCAGGTCAGTTCTGACCCTCCGGCCCGGTTCGGTTCTGTATCTGGGTTCAGATAGAGTTTCGTCAGCTCCTGGCTGAGCCGCTTGTTCTGATCCGAAACTTTTCCAAAACGCTTCATCATCATCATCAAATTAAAGGGGAAGTCACACATTTCGTCATGACGCGGTTAGAGATCCGGTCTTGTGCGAAATTCGGTTCCCCTGTGAAAATCTGTTCCCCCTGCGTCGGGAGCGCGCATTACAGCCAGAGAGGCGAAAGAGGATCTGATCATTTTCACGTCGCTTCTGATCGATTTCTCGGTAAAAAAAAAAAAAAAAAAACAACTAATACAACCATGTCAATGTTGTAACATTCAGTTTAATTTGCAGCTGTTGTTTAAAAAATTGTAAAATAAATAAATAAACGAGGTCTTCTGACGCTGTTTTGTGTTATTGTAAACACCAAGAGAATCGCTCTTTTCTCACGTAAGCCTGGCAGAAATAAAAGTCAGTCACCAAACACAGTTTTCCCAACACGTGGTGTGTATGTAAAGGTTTTTGTGAATTTGGAAACAGTTGTTCTTTATTCCCCAAGGTTATGGAGTAAGAAGAGGAAATAATGGATGATTCAGCAGCCTGAAATATTCTGTTCCCCCTCCATAAAATGGTAAAAAACTTATTTTACCTGCAAATGCTTAACTTTGCCTATTCCTCTCATCATCAACAATAAATACTGTGAATTTGGTAGCATTTGCTCCTTTTTTGCCAGAATTATGAGGGGGGAACCATATATTTCAGCTGGCTAAAATATTCTGTTCCCCCTCCATAAAATGGGAACAACTGCACTTACCAGCAAGATTTTTTCTCTGCTTATTCCTCTCATCATCAACAATAAATCCTGTGATTTTGGTAGCATTTGCTCCGGTTTTGCCAGAATTATGGGGGGGAACCAAATATTTTAGCTGTTTTACCTGACTGAAATTATCCGTTCCCCCTCAAAAACATGGAAACAAATTTATTTATCAACAATAATCATCAACAGCAAACTGGCTGTTGGCAAACAGCCAGTTTGAAAACATTTCATCACTATTTGCTCCATCACCATCTCCACCTGCTGCAGCACCTCCACCTGCTGCAGCACCTCCCCCTGCTCCAGTCCCTCCACCGACTCCATCCCCGCCTCCTGCTCCATCACCGTCTTCCTCTTATTTTAATAAAAGGAATAATTTCAGTATATTATTAAAACAAAATGATACTGAAATTATAGGTGGAGGTGCTGCAGCAGGTGGAAATGGTGATGGAGCAAATAGTGATGAAATGTTTTCAAACTTGCTGTTTGCCAACAGCCAGTTTGCTGTTGATGATTACTGTTGATAAATACATTTGTTTCCATGTTTTTGAGGGGGAACGGATAATTTCAGTCAGGTAAAACTGCTAAAATATTTGGTTCCCCCTCATAATTCTGGCAAAAAAGGAGCAAATGATACCAAAATCACAGGATTTATTGTTGATGATGAGAGGAATAAGCAGAGAAAAAATCTTGCTGGTAAGTGCAGTTGTTCCCATTTTATGGAGGGGGAACAGAATATTTTAGCCAGCTGAAATATATGGTTCCCCCCTCATAATTCTGGCAAAAAAGGAGCAAATGCTACCAAATTCACAGTATTTATTGTTGATGATGAGAGGAATAGGCAAAGTTAAGCATTTGCAGGTAAAATAAGTTTTTACCATTTTATGGAGGGGGAACAGAATATTTCAGGCTGCTGAATCATCCATTATTTCCTCTTCTTACTCCATAACCTTGGGGAATAAAGAACAACTGTTTCCAAATTCACAAAAACCTTTACATACACACCACGTGTTGGGAAAACTGTGTTTGGTGACTGACTTTTATTTCTGCCAGACTTACGTGAGAAAAGAGCGATTCTCTTGGTGTTTACAATAACACAAAACAGCGTCAGAAGACCTCGTTTATTTATTTATTTTACAATTTTTTTAAACAACAGCTGCAAATTAAACTGAGTGTTACAACATTGACATGGTTGTATTAGTTGTTTTTTACCGAGAAATCGATCAGAAGCGATGTGAAAATGATCAGATCCTCTTTCGCCTCTCTGGCTGTAATGCGCGCTCCCGACGCAGGGAACAGATTTTCACAGGGGAACCGAATTTCGCACAAGACCGGAACCGATCCGGAAAGGCTCCATCCCGGGAACCCGTGATAGCACATGATCCAGAGCACTACGTTATGACGTCACCAGGTGACCTTTGACCCGTCCAGTCACTGCTCAGAACACAAATGTGTCCAAACTTTCTCAAGCTGAACAGAAACAAAGCAAGTTTTGTTTGCATCGGAGCTACCAGCCTCTCTCTGGAGCTACCAGCCTCACTCTGGAGCTACCAGCGTCTCTCTGGAGCTACCAGCCTCTCTCTGGAGCTACCAGCCTCTCTCTGGAGCTACCAGCCTCTCTCTGGAGCTACCAGCCTCACTCTGGAGCTACCAGCGGCTCTCTGGAGCTACCAGCCTCACTCTGGAGCTACCAGCGGCTCTCTGGAGCTACCAGCCTCTCTCTGGAGCTACCAGCCTCACTCTGGAGCTACCAGCCTCACTCTGGAGCTACCAGCCTCTCTCTGGAGCTACCAGCCTCACTCTGGAGCTACCAGCCTCTCTCTGGAGCTACCAGCCTCACTCTGGAGCTACCAGCGGCTCTCTGGAGCTACCAGCCTCTCTCTGGAGCTACCAGCCTCTCTCTGGAGCTACCAGCCTCACTCTGGAGCTACCAGCCTCACTCTGGAGCTACCAGCCTCACTCTGGAGCTACCAGCCTCACTCTGGAGCTACCAGCCTCACTACCAGCCTCACTCTGGAGCTACCAGCCTCTCTCTGGAGCTACCAGCCTCACTCTGGAGCTACCAGCGGCTCTCTGGAGCTACCAGCCTCTCTCTGGAGCTACCAGCCTCTCTCTGGAGCTACCAGCCTCACTCTGGAGCTACCAGCCTCACTCTGGAGCTACCAGCCTCACTCTGGAGCTACCAGCCTCACTCTGGAGCTACCAGCCTCACTACCAGCCTCACTCTGGAGCTACCAGCGGCTCTCTGGAGCTACCAGCCTCTCTCTGGAGCTACCAGCCTCACTCTGGAGCTACCAGCCTCTCTCTGGAGCTACCAGCCTCACTCTGGAGCTACCAGCCTCACTCTGGAGCTACCAGCCTCACTCTGGAGCTACCAGCCTCACTCTGGAGCTACCAGCCTCACTCTGGAGCTACCAGCCTCACTACCAGCCTCACTCTGGAGCTACCAGCGGCTCTCTGGAGCTACCAGCCTCTCTCTGGAGCTACCAGCCTCACTCTGGAGCTACCAGCCTCACTCTGGAGCTACCAGCCTCACTCTGGAGCTACCAGCCTCACTCTGGAGCTACCAGCCTCTCTCTGGAGCTACCAGCCTCTCTCTGGAGCTACCAGCCTCACTCTGGAGCTACCAGCCTCAACTCTGGAGCTACCTGCCTCTCTCTGGAGCTACCGGCCTCACTCTGGAGCTACCGGCCTCACTCTGGAGCTACCGGCCTCTCTCTGGAGCTACCGGCCTCTCTCTGGAGCTACCGGCCTCTCTCTGGAGCTACCGGCCTCTCTCTGGAGCTACCGGCCTCTCTCTGGAGCTACCGGCCTCTCTCTGGAGCTACCGGCCTCACTCTGGAGCTACCGGCCTCACTCTGGAGCTACTGGCCTCACTCTGGAGCTACCGGCCTCACTCTGGAGCTACTGGCCTCACTCTGGAGCTACCGGCCTCTCTCTGGAGCTACCAGCGGCTCTCTGGAGCTACCAGCGGCTCTCTGGAGCTACCAGCCTCTCTCTGGAGCTACCAGCCTCTCTCTGGAGCTACCAGCGGCTCTCTGGAGCTACCAGCCTCTCTCTGGAGCTACCAGCGGCTCTCTGGAGCTACCAGCCTCTCTCTGGAGCTACCGGCCTCTCTCTGGAGCTACCAGCGGCTCTCTGGAGCTACCAGCCTCTCTCTGGAGCTACCAGCGGCTCTCTGGAGCTACCAGCCTCTCTCTGGAGCTACCAGCCTCTCTCTGGAGCTACCAGCGGCTCTCTGGAGCTACCAGCCTCACTCTGGAGCTACCGGCCTCTCTCTGGAGCTACCGGCCGCACTCTGGAGCTACCGGCCTCACTCTGGAGCTACCGGCCTCTTTCTGGAGCTACCGGCCTCTCTCTGGAGCTACCGGCAGCTCTACTCATACCTTATGTTTTATTGGTGCCATTTTTTTTTACATCCACTATAGTACATGCATTTATTTCATGAAAATTTGTCAAGAAGCTCAGCCAACAATGCATTAGTTTTACCTTGTTTATCAATCAGAGTCCGAATCAACAAACACAACTAGCTCTAGAGCAGGGGTGGGCACTCCTGGTCCTCGAGGGCCGGTGTCCTGCAACTCTTGGTTGTCTCCCTGATCCAACACACCTGAATCCAACAGCTGAATCACCTCCTAAATACAATCAAGTTCTCCAGAGACCTGCTAATGACCTCAGTATTTGACTCAGGTGTGTTGAAGTAGAGATACATCTAAAAGTTGCAGGAGACCCTCAAGGACCTGGAGTGCCCACCCCTGCTCTAGAGCTACAGATCTAGAGCTACAGATCTAGAGCTACAGATCTAGAGCTACAGATGTTCTCAACCTTTTTTGAGGACCTGAATCCACCATTTTCATTTGCACATTCACTGAATCCATCTTTAGAGACAAATAAAATATTTTTCCAAATTCAGGATATGGATATTTGCTTTTTTTTACTGGTGCATAAAATGAGTCATACATGAACGTCACTTTGCTCAAAGATAAAACCAACACAGAGCATGAACTCACAACAGATTACTGTATTAGTTTATTCTGGCCCCAAAAATATTGTTTTTCTATTTTACTCATTAAAAATAAATTTGGATTTTTTTAAAGATTTAAAAAATTGTGAATAATTTAATATTTTAAAGGTGAAATTTACTTTGTTTTTTGTCGTTTTGAATCCACAAAGTACTGTTTTACTTTCCCGTCTCCCTGCGGCTTCAGGAAGTGTTGCCTTCATGTTGCCGGTGGAGACTGGAGTTGCTCAACTTGGCGCTGCACATCATGCAGATGGGACTCTGACTCCCATCCGTTCCCTGATGCACATCGATCCGTGTTGGACATCAGAGGAGCTGAAACTTTTCAGACCAACATCCAGTTTTTCTCCCAGCAGCCGGCTGAGATCCGCCTCATGACAGCAAGACAGAAACTAAACGAAACCCTGTTGACTCGTTTCTCTGCAAATATCCACCAGTTAGAGAAATGATACGGTGAGATTCTGGCACTGGGAGCAGGTTACTGGTTTCTCAGTCACAAGCTGGTTGCAGTCAGTTCTGGTGGATCTGAACTTTGACCTCAGTATGAGAAACTGCAGACTGATGGGAGGAACCAAAGAGCTCTGTTAAAGTAAAGGCAAACCTTCTGCATCTGGGATTGAAATCATTTCATTTCACATAATCATGGTGGCAGAAACCATTTGTTAAAACCTAATCAATATATTTGTCCTATTGACGTTTGTTATAATATTTACTGCAAACGAACGACGTCATCAGTCCAAGTTTATCGTTTATTGATCGTTCAGAAACTCATCAAAGGTCAACAAGGTGAAACAACCTGAACAGGTGATCAACCTGAACAGGTGATCAACCTGAACAGGTGATCAACCTGAACCACCTTTTACTCTCCGTCTCTCTTTGTCGTTAAGCACAGCCGTTGCCGTGGTAACCGCCTGCTGAGCAGAGATTAGGTGAAAACATTCAGTCCGTTTAGCATTAGCATTAGCATTAGCATCAGGTTTCCAGGCTTGATATGTATTGATTATTGATGAGCCTCTCATGGACTCAGTGGCGGCTGATTGGCTGCTTTAACCTCCTGATCTTAACAATAATTACTGACAATATTCATTTTAACATGTTTTTTTATGATTCCTTAATGAAGCTACAAACGTTTAGGATCTTAGTGAATATTTTGATAAGCCTGTCAGAACAGGAAGTTCTGCTCTCAGCTTCCTGTTGGCCTTCAGTTTGCTGCAGAGACCTGATCAACGTATTGATCGGCCCTGGTCCGGGGAATCTGTGGGGCGTGTCCGGTCCTGGATCGGGTCTCACTACCTGCTCTGTAACAACCACAAAACCCAAAGAAGTGCTGATCCGAACGGCTTAGCGGATTACAGGAATGTCTGGATCTCAGAGCAACAGCTGAGACACTGGATCAGAAACCGGATCAGAACCAGAAGCTGGGCTGACTGTGAGGAGCGGAGAGCTGCAGCCTGGGGGAAACAGGAAATGTTTTCTGATGGGATCAGAGGAGGATGAAGGGTGGAGCCGCTCAGTTCCAGCAGCAGAACTCCAAGACGTTCAAGCGGTGACTTGTCACCGTGGGAGGAGACGGCCGCTGTATCCTGCCGTCTCCTCCCACGCTGCTCTGGGCTCGCATCCAACCAGGATCTGAGTCAGACGAATGATCTGGGAATGTTTGGTTGCAGGAAGCCAGGCGAGCCTCCACTGGTGAAAGGCTGGATCCCCTTCGTCGGGAAGGCTCTGGACTTCGGGAAGGACGCTCACAAGTTTCTGGAGGAACATAGGAGGGAGCATGGGGACGTGTTCACGGTCCTGATCGCAGGTGGGTTCTGAAACTCCATCCCCGGTGACCCATCATGGATCATGGTTTGTCTATTTAAAGACATAACTTTTTAAAATATACAGTACCCCCACAAACCCTCTTGGGAAAGAGACCTCAATGTTGAAGACCTCTGATCTCGATTGTCCCAGATGGGTCCCAGATTTGTCCCATGGCATGATCTGGCTCAGTTTCACACTAACCAGGACCTTCTGTCTACTGCAGGTAAATACATGACCTTCATCATGGACCCCCTGCTGTACCCCAGCATCATCAAGCAGGGCCGGCAGCTGGACTTCCACGAGTTCACCAATAAGGTGGCTCCTCTGACCTTCGGCTACCCGCCCGTCCTCGGCACCGCCTTCCCCGGCCTGTGGGAGCAGATCAGGCGCTCCTTCCAGCTGCTGCAAGGGGACCACCTGGTGCCGCTGACAGAGAGCATGATGGGTAACCTGATGCTGGTGTTCCGTCAGGATCACCTGAACGGGGCCAGCGACTGGAGGAGAGGCAGCCTGTACGAGTTCTGCTGCTCCGTCATGTTCGAGGCCACCTTCCTGACCATCTACGGCAGACCGGCGACCGGCGTCCGCCACGGAGGGATGGACCGTCTGAGGAACGACTTCCACAAGTTCGACAACATGTTCCCGTTCCTCATCGCTCAGATTCCCATCCGGCTGCTGGGGCGGACCCTGGCCATCCGCCAGAAGCTGACCTCCTACTTCCTGCCACAGCACATGTCCCAGTGGACCAACACGTCCCAGTTCATCCAGAGACGAGCCGAGCTGTTTGAGCAGCACGACAAGCTGAAGGACATGGATAAAGCTGGTAGATGATCCGGAGGACGTTGGTGGCCCAATAAGTGATATCAATGACATGCAGAACCAGAACCTCAGGAGGCTCTGGGTTTCAGTGGAACATCCTCCTGGGTTCCAGACAGACTAGATTTGTGGTTCTGGAGCTGGTTTGTCTCAGTTCTTTCTGTCTTCTGTCCTCCAGCTCATCACTTCGCTATCCTGTGGGCGTCAGTGGCCAACACGCTCCCCGCCACCTTCTGGGCCGCCTACTTCCTGATGAGTCAGCCGGAGGCGTTGAAGGTGGTCCGCCAGGAGGTCATTGACGTCCTGCAGGACAGCGGTGTGGACTTCAGCACCAGCAGCGACATCAGGCTCAGCAAAGAGCAGCTGGACAAACTCATCTTTCTGGGTGCGTTCCAGTTCACGTTCAGCTCAGTGGTGAAGCGGGTCGATAACGGGCCGTCTTCATCCTCAGAGAGCGCCATCAACGAGAGCTTCCGCCTGTCCTCGGCCTCCATGAACATCCGGGTGGCCCAGGAGGACTTCAGTCTGCGGCTGGACTCCGACAGATCGGTGGGTGTCAGGAAGGGAGACGTCATCGCCCTGTACCCTCAGAGTCTGCACCTGGACCCCGAGGTCTACGACGACCCACAGGTACGGGATCAGAGGTCACCTTAAAACCGCATCGCCCAGAGTCTTCCTCTGCTGGATGAAGATATGTGCCTCCCTGGGTGCTACTGGTTGGTTCTGCTCTGGTTGTTGGAGCTACAGGAGTAACATGTCACAGATGAAGTGAACTCTCACGTTTAATATCTCCTTAAAGCTGCAGCACATCACGAAAAAGAAAAGTTTCAACATTCAAACTTTGGCTGTTGACCATCAGACTGATCAATGGAGCTGCTCTGCCCCCTCCAGGTGTTCTGCAGAATAACATCGCTGGGTCAGAAGCAACCAATCAGAGCCAGGGGAAAGCAGCTAGCCATGCTATCGCTATCAGGAACTTTGATCTAGTATAGGTTTATTTATTTTGATACAACCTGCATTTAAATTTGAATCTATTTTTACTTGACATTGTTTGACATCAGCAGTGTTGTGAGATTGATCAGATTTTATGTATAATTTAGTCATTAAGACTCTTAAAGTTAAATATTGTTTTATTGATTGCAGGTTCCTGGGGGAGTTTTTTTATTGAATATTTGCTGTGATGTGCATGCAAAGATGTTACACGTTTTTCTCTAAATTTGGTGATTTTATGGTTCCATTGTTCCAGATCACAGATGCCCCTTTTCCCTCTGCTCGACTCTACTGACCCCAACCCTGACCCCTGACCCCAACCCTGACCCTCGTTTTGTTCTCCACCTGTTTATCAGTTTTATTGTGTTATTGGAGCCCTGCATAATTCCCTCTGGTCGTAAAACTTGGTGATATTTATAACAGCCATCAAACTATGGCTCCTGCAGCATATTTCAAATAAAATGATTGACCAACAGAAGAGAAATTCACCCTTTCTTGACAGAACTAACAGAAACCAGACTTCTAGATTTGTGTCAAGGAGACTTTTGTACCAGATTTTTCAGCTTTATTTTAAGGCGCATTTCATATATATATCTTATGAAGGCGCTACTAATGTCACAGATTTCTGCTCATTCTGCATTGGAACACAATAAATGGTTTTCTGGACACAAAGCATCACATAGCGACTAACAGGCCTGTCCAATCCAGCAAAACATATCGATTAGCAGCACAAAGAAAGACAGAAAAATAATTAACGATACTAAATTAAGAAATTATATTTAATCCTCAGTGCTGCATGAAGCTCATTTTGAGACAATGCAAGTTAAAAACAATATTATGCAACCAGTAAATTAGGTCCAGTGACAGGTCTGTACAACACACACACACACACACACACGTAGATAAATAATGTGTGTTCCTCGTGACTCTGCAGACGTTCCGGTTCGACCGCTTCGTGCAGGACAGCAGAGAAAAGACGGATTTCTCCAAAGAGGGACAGAAGCTGCGCTACTACTTGATGCCGTTCGGCTCCGGATCGTCCATGTGTCCTGGACGGTACTTTGCCATCAACGAGATCAAGCAGTTTGTCTGTCTGCTGCTGCTGTACTTCGACCTGCAGCTGGAGGACAGGCAGAACCGACCCGGTCTGGACCCGAGCCGAGCCGGTCTGGGAATCCTGCTGCCCTCCTCGGATGTCCAGTTCCACTACAGACTGCGGTCCGTGTGACCCAGAGCGGCGCTGAAGTCCAGATGTCTTGTTCCCTCTGGAGGTTCTCGGGGTCCGGACTCGGTCCGGAGGTTTGGGTTCTGGTCGGGGTTCGGGTCCTCGTGCCCCCCTGGGACACCTGGAGGCGCTGCAGCAGAGATCCTGCTGGAGGGAGTGACTGCTAGCAGCGCCTCCTGCTGGTCAAGCTGCAGAACTGTCCCGGATTAAAACTGGTTCTGATCCGATTTGTCAGGGCCAGCCCAAGCCTCCATGGGGCCCCAAGCCAAATGTGCTTTTGGGGCCCTCTGGTTCTGCTAACAATGTGGACCGGCTGCAATCAGCAGTCTGATGATTAGATCGATTAAACACCTGCTATGAACTGATTGCATCTCTGGCTGTTTACATTACATACATGTATAATAGATACAATTATTGACCAGTTGATTTCTGGGAGCCGATTTCCTTCATTTTGGGGCATCGTGATCAGCCGATACTGACATGTGAAGCTGATATGATGTCCATCATCTCTGTCCTTCTGCAGAGACAGTTGGACTGACAGACCAGGCCAGTCTCAACATTTACAGCTAATATTCACTGTTAGCAACTCAAAGACTTTGCTGCTACATTCAGAAACATTTCAGACTCAATTAATTCATATGAGCCAAAATCAGCAGGTCAAAGGTCAGAACCAGGAATCAGCCAGAAAACTGCAATCGCTGCAGAAACACATTCAATTCATTTCTCTTCAGCTCCAATAGCTAAAATCTAATTTATACCAGGTGAGTCTTTCTGCCCTGGAATGTGGACCGGTACCGGGTCGGTTCTGAGCCTCCAAATGATTTTTCTCAGCAGCAAACAGCAAATCAGCTGCAGCAGAGAGCGGCTCGTCCTGCTGCAGCAGCTCGTCCTGCAGCAACTGCAGCCTGACGTCTCAACATTTAGCTGGACAATATCAGAATCTGATGAGTTTTAATTATTCATATCAAACCTGATCAAACAGTTTGAACCAAAATACCTGAGAAATATCCACCAGGAGAATCAACTCATTTAAACTCAGTTTCACACAAAGACGCAGCTTCAATGTTGTAGAACTGGACCGGTCCGGTCCGGGTCATAAGGTCATTTCTGTTAGCAGCTTTATTATCTTTACATTATATTATAAAGACTCATTAAAACAAACTTTATCTTGGTTCTTATTATTTCAAAAACAAATCAGTCTATGATGAAATTTTGTGTTTTTGTTATAACGACATAGAAATCATTACTAACAAAAAAAAATAAAAAATCAGCTCCACTGAGGGGCCCCTTAGTTTGCGCATGCCTTGGGCCGGCCCTGGGATTTGTTATGTCATTTTATCCACAGCAGGAATTTATTTTCTGTCTCGTGTCTTTTAATTTCAATCCTTATTTTAATTCAGTGTTCAATATTAAACCCAGTGTTTTCTATCTATGCTTCATGTCTTCTTCAATCATTTTTGTACCAGCAAGGTTTGGGTCGGAACTGACCCAGATCTTCTTCACTTCTTGTTTCTTCCAAATAAAAACTTTGAAATATGAGTCTATAAATTGTTCATTAAATTACACATTTGGTCAGTTTGAGTTTTGGACTTGTTGAAACTCAGACCGGGTCCATATCAGATCACTTCACTGAAACCGGGTTCTGCTGCACTCCTCTGTACCGGGCCGGCCCAAGTCATCTCAATCATGCATCTCACTGCAACAGAGCGTTACGTTAGCATTTAGCTTTAGCACATAGAATGTTTTATAGCATTAAAGGAACAAGAAGTACAAACGTTTGAGCCAAGAAAACATCTAGTAAGTTTTCATTACTCTCCACTTGATAAAAATGATGATCTATGTTTTGCTAACACTTTTCTATGCTGAGTACACAGAGAGGGGGCGCTGTTTCCCCGCTGCACTGATGCATAAAGCAAGTGGGATTCTACAACCTAAACATTGCTACATTAGTCAGGTCCAGAGAATTCTGGTTCTGGTTCTGGAGGCCGTCCCCATTTGCGACCCGTTACCTGGAACTGCACCTCCAGAACCCCAACAGCAGAGGGCGCTGTGCCCTTAACTAACTTCAGGTAAATCTGCCTCTCAGTCAATATCGCCTCAGCTGGTTCGGTTCGGGTCGACCTGGAAAAATCCAACATAATGGCGGGAAAAGTTCATTTATTACAACCAAGTCACAAAACATGCAGGGCCAAAAATATGCACAACGTTTCGCTGAGAGTCAATAAAACGTTTGTGGAAAAAAGCTGGAAACTAAGGGAGGGGACGAGGTCCGGGGGCCAGTGACCCCTAGGGCCACAGCGCCTTCTCTGGCGGCCCCTCGCTGCCGCTCAGCTAATTGGGCCCCCTGTGTGGGAAACGTGGGAATCACAGCAAAACAAATACAAAAACATGACAATAACTGAAAAAGGAGGTCACGTTACCACAGGGCCGATTCAAGGTCAGGGCCGTGCAGAGACCTTTGGAGGGGCCCAAAGTTTTACTAATAAAGCTCTGATATCTATTTAACCTCTGGAACAGGGATTCCCAAAAATTTTCTGGGCCCCTTTAGATTAAAACAAAATCCTCCCAAGAAAGTCAGCTGGGCAGACACTGTTCATTCAGGGGCCTCCAGACACTCAGGGGCCTCCAGACACTCAGGGGCCTCCAGACACTCAGGGGCCTCCAGACACTCAGGGGCCTCCAGACACTCAGGGGCCCCCAGACACTCAGGGGCCCCCATACACTCAGGGGCCTCCAGACACTCAGGGGCCTCCAGACACTCAGGGGCCTCCAGACACTCAGGGGCCTCCAGACACTCAGGGGCCCCCATACACTCAGGGGCCTCCAGACATTCAGGGGCCTCCAGACACTCAGGGGCCCCCAGACACTCAGGGGCCCCCATACACTCAGGGGCCTCCAGACACTCAGGGGCCTCCAGACATTCAGGGGCCTCCAGACACTCAGGGGCCTCCAGACACTCAGGGGCCTCCAGACATTCAGGGGCCTCCAGACACTCAGGGGCCTCCAGACATTCAGGGGCCTCCAGACACTCAGGGGCCTCCAGACATTCAGGGGCCTCCAGACACTCAGGGGCCTCCAGACATTCAGGGGCCTCCAGACATTCAGGGGCCTCCAGACACTCAGGGGCCTCCAGACATTCAGGGGCCTCCAGACACTCAGGGGCCTCCAGACACTCAGGGGCCTCCAGACACTCAGGGGCCCTATTAATGGTTTAATTGTAACACCATAAATCTAAACCTGTAGCATCATTTATGGAGAATGACAATGTTATTACATTTTATTTAATGCATTCAACAGAGAAAAATAAAAATATGCACTTTGGATTTAATTAGGACATTTAATGTTTAAAAGTTTAAAGAACCATCTTGATATAAATGAGCTAAATATAAATTTAGCTCTTTTATATTTAGCTAAATGTTATTGCTGAGGGGCGTAAGCAGGCCTTCTGACGTACATATAAATAAAAACTAATAAATAAAAACATCACGGATAAAAGAGCCAGGGGGCTCAAGCCCCCTCTGCCCCCCCCTCTGCACGAGCCTGTTCAAGGTCCAGATAGTTTTCATTCATATTTGACTGACATGAGAAGAACATCCCGGCAACAGAACCTCGGTTCCGTTCGGCGAAAACCAAACCATGTTCAGGTCTCTGGATCTGTTCGGAACCAGAAACCAGAACATCGACATGTTACTCTCGGTGGTTCTCCTCATTCGGACCAGAACCTGTCACCAGAACCGTTGACCCAAACCCGGAGAATCCACCTCTACTGTGGACCAGAACCAGGATCAGCTGCTCCTCGAGAGGCTTTTATTATGAAAATCTCCAGGGAAGTTGGATCAACAGCCCTCGGAACTGCTCGGCCAAGTTCGGCTCCGCTCGGTTTATTTTCATCTCCGCCTCCAGCTGAGCGGAGCGACAAGAAGTTCGGACACCGAGGAGCCCAGAGCCGCCGCGGAGCCGAACCGAACCAAGAACTGGAACTGGAACACAGCGACACCACGGTGGGACCGGGACCAGCGCGGTGAGCGGACCGGGACCGGGACCGGGACCGGGACCGGAACGGAATTGAAGACGGCATCATTCCTCTCCAGAAGTCAGGGAGGTTCGGGTCGGACAGGCGGCGGTTCGGGGCAGCAGAACCGTGTTAAAGTGGACCGCTGGCGGCTGCAGACAGAACCATGTACCAAGTCCAGGTGAGCGGCCCAACAGAACTCTAGCAGAACCCAGAGAGAGCGATGGTTCTGTTCGGAACCCGGCCAGGAAAGTTCCTCCGGTTCCGATACTCAAGGTTTCTACTGGGTCCTAGAGAAACGAGTCCAAGAGAAGAACCATAATTTATTTGATTCTTGGTTCCTTAAACTATGTAAATGTGGTTCTGACCCGGTTCTGAAGAAACTGAGTTTGTTCTGATCGGAACCAGAACCAAACAAAACCAGAACCAAGAAGAACCAAAACCAAACAGAACCAGAACCAAGAAGAACCAGAACCAAACCCGATAGCAGTGTCCTGCTTGGTTCTACAGGAAGTAGAATTTTCCAGTCCTGATTTTCGTTTGTCAGGAATCTGATCAGAACTTTCCGTCAGTTCTTCATGTTTGGGTTTAGTGGAACTGGACCGGACCTGAAGAACTCTATCTGAGAAACAACAATATTCCCAAAAATGAAAGTAAATTCTCCCTTGTGATTCCTAACATCAGACTGCAGCGTTCAGGAGCGCTGTGGGAACGTTCAGGGGCGCTGTGGGAACGTTCAGGGGCGCTGTGGGAACGTTCAGGGGCGCTGTGGGAACGTTCAGGAGCGCTGTGGGAATGTTCAGGAACGCTGTGGGAACGTTCAGGAGCGCTGTGGGAACATTCAGGAGCGCTGTGGGAACGTTTCACCACCCGCTCCGCGACACTGCTTCTGTTCCTTGAACGTTGCAGTCCAACTTCCTGCTGATTTCTGGTTTCCTCCTGTAGTCTACCATCTTTTCCAGATGGGCCCTGGTCCTTGTTCCGGTTCTGGTTCCCTCAGGGAATGAGTAAAGAACTCCATCAGATCCTGTCAGATCCTTTTCTCTGACCAATCTTTTTCTGATTTGACTGATCAGGAGTTCAGGTGTCATCGTTCCACTGAGGAAGACCAATCAGAGCGCCAACGTCTGTGACAGGAAAATACACTGGAAGCAAACAGGAAGGAGACAAACAGGAAGAGGACGAGCTTTCCAGCCTGACCGCAGTCTGGCAGACACAATATCTGGATCAATATGGAATTTTCCTGCCATAATCCAAGTGCACACATTTTCATTTTGAAAGCAGGACTTTATGTCTATCTTCTCCAAATTTCTCTTTGCGATCACACTTAGTCTCTGCTTGCTTTTGGAAATGCCATTTGGGACAATCGCCTGGCAACCCAATAGAATGTGTTGCACTGGGTGTGTTTGTTTCCTTCTAGCAGGTGAGCCTGCTATCGATTATAGCAACCCGTGCCACCCACCGGATGTAGGGAGAAACAATGTCAGCTTTCTGTTCCCTTATACTAAAGATCTGCCAGCAGTGTGCTACTGATCGCTAACAACTACTGATCGCTAACAACTACTGATCGCTAACAACTACTGATCATTAATAGCTACTGATCTTATGCAGGATTTTGTTTACCCACCCGTCTCCCTATATCCAGTGGGTGGTGCAGGTTGCTACAATTGATAGCAGCCACACAGGCTCACATGCGAGAAGGGAACAAACCCATCCAGCACAACACTTCCATCCTATTGGCTGAGAGGTTGCCAGGTGAGTGTACCAAAAGGCAGTTTCATGTTTCGTAAGCAAGCAGAGTCTGAGTAGAGTGTGACTGCGAGGAGAAGTTTTGAGTACAAGCGTTGCAGGTTTTGAGGAGAATGACATTAAGTTCTGCTTTCAAAATGAAAATTTGTGCTCAAATTATAGCAGGAAAATTCCATCATAGATCTGGATCATGATCAGGTGTGACTGTGCCTGGACATCAGGAAGTTGAGCCTGTCAGTCAGAACTCGCGCCAGGAGTCTGCAGCCTGACATGAACAGTGATGATGATGACTGTCCTTCCACTGAATGTGCGCGGAGCAAAAGGGGATGACCTTTGACCTCCTGAGGTGGATATGATGACTTCTGACTCTGCAGCAGAGGGAGGAACCCTGAGGTTCTTGTTCCTCTCCAGCAGATGGTGTGTCCTCTGCAGGCTCCTGTAGTTACAGTCAGGGTGACCGGGGCAGTGTGTGTGTGTGTGTGTGTGTGTGTGTGTGTGTGTGTGTGTGTGTGTGTGTGTGTGTGTGTGTGTGTGTGTGTGTGTGTGTGTGTGTGTGTGTGTTGGTCTAAAAATAAACGGCCGTTCTGCTGAACAAACAATCTTTCACCAAACAGAGAATCTGCAACAGAAACTGAAGAACCAATCAGTTCTGCTGATCAGACAATCGTATCCATAACCGATCAATGGATTCAGATGATCAGAAGTTTCAGACCTGGGCCTGCGTCCAGAACCAGAAGGAGTCAGAGGTCTGATCAGCAGAACCGGGTCTGAAGCGAAG